TGCGTCATCTTTGCAACAATCAATCAGGCATTCGGGACTACTGGGCTTTGACCGTCCTCTGGGGGGCAAAGCCTGAGGGTCATTTCTCCATCGCCGACCATGGTCCCAAGATGCTGGAGCGGTTGAAGTCTTTTCATTTCCAGCCTGGAACTGAGTACTCGTACGCGAATACAAACTTCTTCATTATCGCTCGCTGTATCGAGAAGGTCACAGGGCAGCCGCTCGAAGAACTACTCGCCGAGCGGATCTTCGCACCCGCCGGGATGGAGACGGCGAGGCTGTGCGCACACAGTGCGGAACATCCACCTCCGTGTGTTGGCTACGAAGGCAACGAGTCGTTTGGATTCTATCCCGGTATCAATTGTATTGAATGGGCTGGTGATGCCGGTGTTGTGGCTTCTTTGACCGATATGATCGCCTACGAGCAGTTTGTGGATCGAAGCGTCAATGACCCGCAAAGCTGGTATGGGTCCAATTCTGAGCAACAAAAATACACTGATGGGACGCCTGCCGACTATGGTTTCGGTCTGGCTCGTCACCTAGTTGGAGGCGTATTGAGTGTCGGGCACGCAGGGGCACTCCGTGGATATCGTCTGCACCGGTCCTACTCACCAGAGCCACGGGTTTCTATTGTTGTCTTACTTAACCAAGAGTATGGCGATGCCAGTGGACTTAATGATTACATCTTGAAGCGATTGATGGGCTCGCCTGAGGCAAAAAGCGAGGTCGTCCATCCCAGCCCAGATTGGCCTGGAACCTATCTGGATCCCGAGACGGGACTAGCCGTTACCGTGAGTCAGGGCAACGCAGGGGAGCTTCTTGTCAAATACCATCGTAAACCAGAGAAGGTGCGAGTGGTTGAGACGTATAGAGCTCAGTCGGATGGCATGGTAGCAACTTTGGATGGAACTTCCCTTCATATTCACGTACCTCAAGACAATCGCACTCTTCATGCTCAGCGTGTTGCCTCTGGGAAGGCTAGTCCTACCTCGACTGAGCTTCAAGGTAGTTACCACTGCGCTGAGATAGATTCCGTCTTTCATTGTACCGGCTCGGGTGACATGTTATATGGTACCTTTGATGGCTTTCTGGGACAGGGTCCTGTACATATGATGCGTTTACTCGGAGATGATTTATGGGCTCTTGCATGCCCTAGGGCAATGGATTCGACACCGCCGGGTGACTGGACAGTCATCGTTCGTCGGAGTGACGATGGAAAAGTGGCCGGTCTGACTATCGGATGTTGGCTTGCTCGGCGGCTAAACTTCACTAAGCAGCAGTGAAAGGCAATCGAGAGCTGGACTCTATCCTGTCATGTTTCATTATCAATCTTTGAGCTATCCTAAAAAGGTATATAAGCCATTCATGCAGTAAAGGCAGTACGATGACGGCATCACTTTACAAACACCCATCAATCCAACTCTCGTTCAGCAGAAGGTCTCACGCTAATCGCACAAGCCGTGGATAACTAGGAAGAAACGCAGGGTATGGGCATAGTCGTTAGCTAACCCCGAGGTGCATTGCAGCAAGCTTCGATACTCACAGCTGAGTGATCACTACATTATATGGAAAGCAGGTTAAGCGCTGGAGTCCTATATAGACTTCTGCCTCGCTATTAAACGTATGGTCTATAAATAGTCTGCAGCAAACTCATATGGGGCAGGCTGACTTTTCATCTGTCACGTATAGAGAGCATACATACTCTTCAGATGATTCTCCAGTTCCCATGCCTCGTGTACCATTGTATAAAGCGCATAGCCACGGTCAAATCCGAACTTCATCATTTCATTTCGTCATTAAACATATCAGTCACGTAAAGCCGCAGGATTCTATAAACCCTGCGCTTTTCTTCGACTATCGCTATACGCATCCGAGACATCTACCATGCATGGGAATCTGTACTTTCGCTCTATTATCACCGGGCTCATCTTCGTAACACATGCCCTAACTGTGGCTCTCTTGGCGAAGACCGTAGCGGCCGAGGCCAGTGAAGGCATGCTTCTCGAATACAATGCCTTGGCATTGTCTTGCATTTGTTTTTCAGGCTGGTTCGTGATCTTGCTCCTATAGATCCCCCTCTTAGTCCCACCGAAGTCCCCGAGGCTCAATTGACTGGCAACAGATGTCGAAAAGACACCATCAGCTGTTTTGCCGAGCTTTCCATTGATGGGACTTTCCTCTGCGAGTACCTGACTTTCCTGACAGGATATCCAGGAGGGGCACAGGCAACCGCGTGCGCAATTGGGTCGTGCGTGGTTACTTCAACTCCAACTTCGTCCTCATGAATTGGAGAAGTGGTTCCGTGTGCTGAGGATGCATGTGAAGCATACGTAACTTTCGTATCTGTCGTCATAGTCGTAAGACATATCGTTCAGCACCATCTTGGTATTCTCGCTTCCTATTTTGCGTGCAGCTCTTTACCTCCACTTCACCACTTCCCGTATGTGCACCAAGAGACACAGCTCATTATCATATAGACAAGCGATGTAGTTGCTGCTGCCACCTGTAGAGCAAACGCGCCCATTCTCCATTGCTCAACGGGATGCTTGATGTGCACCTGGCTGGGCCAAATCGCACCCGTGAATATGTCTTGTGGCTTATCATAATAAGACATTATTATGGAGCAAAACCCGGCCGAAAACAGTGCTAATGCTATCAATTCGGCGGGGAACATCCAGGATGCGGCAATGCGTCGGAGTCTCGGTCGTGACACTGCCACTATCTCTGCGAAATCAAGCCCTAGACCCCAAAAGACGGCGACGTACGACACAGGGAAGTTCAGATCGTGACCTGCACTCAAGCCGATGAGCATGACGAGCGCTACAAGCTCAAAGCCCGTGGACAGTCCTCGCAGGCTCAGCTGGACCCAAGCATATGGGTGTGGAAGTCGCGGTCGCGGCATCGTACGGCATGTGAGCTGCCGGACGACTCGGCGATTTGCTCAGCATGCCAAGCAGACAGGACAAGCACAGGTCGGTTCCCGGGGTTGACTCGCGAATAGAGGGATTTCAAAGCTTCAGTTGAAATGAGAGTTTGCTGACCTGCGAACATCAGATTGAGTGTTGTACGTGGACAAAAGTGTCCCCCTCATGAGCTACTTCTTCGGTCGAGGGAATGGCGGATGTCGGTGACTTAATTAGCTGCTTTTACTACAGGGATCCACGTCCTCTAAGATTGAATACGACATTTGGACAAATCGAATGCGACACTGGCCTGGCCTGACTCTGGTCAGCTCGCATTCTATAGAGCGCGCCCCGCCACCCGCAAGATAGCACCAATCAATCATGCATCTGCCAGTGTGCCATGCTAAGCTTAGTTAGCCGATTGTTGGGCACTTCACCACCTGGTAGTCGAAAAGCTCGTGGGCGAGTCTGCGGTAAAAATCGATGCACTAAAACACCCGTTTTTGATTAGTCGATTTCAACCCTGAACCTCACCAAAACCACCACCGACTCAACTACGGCTCAGCCTCGTTCAGGACATACCAGCCACAGCTCAGGCTCAAGGTCCCATAACTAGGCTCAGCCTGAGCTTGCCATGAGCGACCTGAGCAGGCATGCATAAGTAGTACTTAAATAAATTTCATAAAGATTGTACATAGGGTATATTTCTTGGTCCACGGATTTCAACGAGGTAGAGTACTTCTTCACTTGAGACCATCTGTATGCAGGGGTGGTCGAGCATGCCCAAATTTGGTACCTTGACCAGCTGGTCTGGCAAGGAGGACTCCGAAGGAGAAGTACGCTGAGACAGAACTATATAATGTCCTCTCTGGCCGACTATGCGTGTCACCTTGGGTGTCATAATTTTCGAGGCCGGTGGTGTTCCAGTCCTCAAGAGTCATCTCGTGCCCGCCTCCTTCAGCAGTGGCCAAGAAAACCTTCGTCGAGCTCGCCGTCTCCAGAGGATACAAACCGAGTCCCACCAATTATGAATAGCGATCGTATCTTACCGGCAATCGAGCCAGTAACCAAGAAGAATCACCAGAGACAGCTAGAGCGCTGGACAGTGTATTTACCTTCCAGTGTGGTGTTTAATCTCAGCTAAGGTCGTACAGTTCTATTCAAACTAAGAAGGCTCAGACATGCCTTAATTACTTTAAATACATCAAATATGACGATGTGAAGTTCGCATACATGGTAGAAGTCTTGAAAGACTTCATACGCATACAAGCTATAGCCATCAAAGGAACGAAGAATCTCGAGGCTCGTGTCGAAACTGTTCGAAATCATTGGAACACATTTACCGGAGCCTGGAAGAGAATACACGACCCGATTCATCCTGATATTATCAGCACTATTACGCAGGTAAAGATTCCGTGAAACTTTTTCTTCTCTCTTTCCAGATCATTAGGACTAACATTTTGCTTACAGTTCATCTACAGTCCGCTGAAAGATGAGTCAGGTCTGCTCCTAGAGAAGAAATTCCGGAGATATCCAAGCGATAGACCATCTATCTTTACTACTACGCTATCCAGCAATGGGCGCAAGATTTCCACGTCTACCGATTCGAGGTCACAAAGGTGGCGATTCGGTTTGGCCCAGATCTTGAACCTGAGGTGGGGACGACGAATAAGACGAGTGTTCGGCGCGAGCACGGCAGCACCCAAGAACCGTACTGTTATTCCCAGCATTGATAGCAGTGCGGTTCTGAACGGAAGCGGAGAATTCACAGGACCTATGGATGTACAGAATAGAGGTTCGCTTTCGTCAGTAAGTTTCAAGTCAATGGGATTCGGGCCTTACGGTCTCCAGACTCGTCGCCGGTAGGGTACAGAAAACGAGAATATTTCCTTTGTCAGGCTAGAAAAAGAATACTCGTCCGTTACTAGCAACAGGCACAAGATGCGGGGAAACGCGGAGAACGCTCAGCTGTTTACATGTACTTGGCGCAAGCTCCGAGGACTCTATGTTCTTGGTGAAATAGCTGAAGTCAAGGTCTCTTCCCGGTTGGCCTTGTTCAGTCAAAGTCTGCAATTATACATGTAGATCTCCTTTCACTCACTCCTTACGACGAATTCTTATCTGTGCAAACATAGGAGGCATGTAACACTGAAGCAGAGCCCACCTCTTGCCAGGCTTCCTCACAACCTCAACGTCGTATTCCAACACAATCTTGGCGATCGCCAGCTTGACGACCTGGTCGATCAGGAAGCGGCCACCACATTCATGCTGTCCGTACCCAAAGACGGTGAATGTGGGCGTGCAGCGCATCATCCTCTCCTGGTCTGCTTTATCTTTCTCCTCCTCGATGGCCCGCGAGAACCGAAAGGCGTCGAACTTGTGCGGCTTCGTGTAGATGTCCGGGTCCATGTGGAACGATCTCAGGGGGTACGTGGGGTGGATTCGGGAGCCGGGAAGGACGCGGAGTCCGCCGCCTAGACCGATATCGAGGCCCTCTCCGCCGAGGACCTCAAGGGAGAGGAAGTGGTTGAAGGGATCGGACATGCGCATGCTTTCGCGGATGGCCGAGTCAAGCCGGACCATATCGGCGATGGCACCGGGCGCATCGAGAGTCCCCCCGTACTTCTGAGAGACGCGTGCACATTCTTCGTGAATGGTCGAGATGATATCTTGGCTGTCGTCGGCGCCGTATATGTGGAGTAGGGTATGCACGAATGCCCAGGACATGCCGAAAAGGGAGACGAAGGCCAGCAGGAGAGAGCGGCAAAGAATCTGTGTCGCGTCGGGCCCGTCTGGGTCTTTGGTGGCGTACTTCTCAATGTACCGTTGAAGTGTGTCTTGGGGCAGTTTGTCTTCGTCGTCAGTCTCTCGCCATAAACGGATCCGATCCTCGATGTGCGGGATCAGCAGTCTGTCAAGCTTCGCGAGGAGGAACCGGGCGCGCGTATGCAACGCCCATCCCGCCACGGCGCTAATGCCTGGAGGCAGGGCATTGGCGAAGACGGCGTTGGACGAGAGCGTCTCGCCGTACTTGCGGGCGAGCTCGACGAACTCATTGTTTCGGCATAGCGGCGTTCCAAGCACATGTCGCAACCCGACGCGTAGTATGATCTTTTGACCCACGTCCCACGCCCCGAAAGTCTTCCACACAGCATCATCGCCATTGCCAGCGTCATTTCCGGTCCCCCAGCAAGCCGAGATGGCGTGTGCCACCTCTTCCGAAGACTGGCCGACCACCTTGCCAACGTTACTCGCGTTCAGCCTTTTGCGGAAGATGTCCCGGTGAGCCACGGCATGCGAGGAAAGTCCTAGACTCTGTAGTAGTATGGCGTCGATGAGGGTGTCGTACGTGCTTAGCTGCTGACGACTTCTATTGAGTAGGTGTAGCATCGACCGCGGAAGCACCACCCAGCCTGTGCTGGACCACAGGGATGGCAGGATGAACGGCTGGCCGGACTTGCCGAAGCGCTGGTAACCCTCCTCGAGGAGACTCTCTGTGTCAACGAGAGAGCGGAGTCGCGCGATCAGGCTCCATGGTACGAGGAAGTCGAGAATACGCAGCCGGTCGGCCTTGTACGGAGTTCCAACCTTGGGAAGCGCGGCGAAGATTTTGGCGTCAGTGGCGGCGATTTCGTTGCTGAACAAGCCCCCAACAGTGTCAGCAACCTTGGACGCCAGAACTAAGCATGTCAAGGCCAGGAAACACGTTGATAGTGTAGGGAGGGACCATATAGTGGTGAACGAAGGTGTATCGGAGGGCAAGGTTGCGTTTGTCGCGTTGAACATGTGGACGCCGGTGTCTTTGAAAGAGAGATCCATGACGAATTGCCCGTTCCAAGTTGTTGAAAGCAGAGTCTGCGAGTAATCAGCCTGAAGTCCAGATCATAACCAAGTCTGAATGCTTCGTCAGGTTTACTCTTATATCTGGACAGGTCCTGATCTTCCTAAACTGTATCACAAGCAGCCATCCACGAAGGCAACCATACGATCCCCAGTCTAGAGTGAGCTGATCGACATCATGATCAGGGGTCCTTCGCACCTGAGGAGCCGGAAGAATGAGCCCTTCTCACTCCTTCTACTATCAATCAACCCGGATATCCTTACAAGTCTGGTCGTGGCCCCGAGCGCTCCCAGCATCGCCACAAAGTTCTATCCACCAGCTAGCCAACGCCGCAGAATCTGTGGAATGAATCACACCCCCGAGCCATAAAAGGCCTGCAGCTCGGAATCCTTTACGTATCATTTCCCCTCCTTTGTCGTCGTGAGCCTTGTTTTGGTGTTGAACACGACAACTCCTGTCCGACCCCTGTGCGACCGAAAGATGGATTCGATAAACCAGTTTACCATGCACATCTAGCGCATCCATCGGTCCCCTGAATCCCCACTCACTGGACCAAGTGGCTTATTTGCACAACGTGTAATTGGGTATGTCGATTGTCAGATTGGGAGACCGCGCCGCCTGCGGGATCAAGATGCTTGAGCTGCGCCGTGCGCTCATCGCTCCTGATGATTTCCTCTGAAGCTGACAAGCGCAGTTGCGAATCCTACCGCTGGAAACCTACAGCTGAGTGAGGAGATGATGCTTTTGTGCAGATAAGCAAAACGTGTTACTGCAGGGTAGGGTTCCCTCGCCAAAACCGCTCGACCTGCCTGATCCAGCGAATCACGGTGCTACGTTTTATATCGGAGTCTCGGGTCTCCTGTGCTCCGCCGCCAACCCTGGTCTGGTGCATCGCGGCTTTGAAAGGTGTCGCTAGTAGGGATGCATATAACACATATTTATTTGATCAGATTTGGCTCAGATCACTCTGTCCAATACACCATAAGATACACAATGAGACATAATACCGTTGTCTCTCTTCACAGTAACCAGGTTCAAACAGAAAAATGTTCTCAATTTCTGATGCCTTATAGCACATATAATCCCATTTTTTTTCCGTATCTCGTACAACCCTTACCTATACCTACATATACTATAAGTTATATTCACACTAGCCTAATTAGGCTTAGTTTTACCAGATCATCTCGTTATTCTATGCCAGAGCTGTCACTTGTCCTGAGATTATGTCTAGTATGCAGAGAGCTGCTGCATGGCCCGCAAAACCTTTAGCCCGACTAGTCTTTGAATATGACTTATAAGGCGAGTCTCATCATGAACAGAAGTAAATATTGCAATCTCTAGGGTGTAGTTCTAGTCTACAGCTCATTGCAACCTACTCTAAGCTATCTAAGAGATGTTCGAGCTCCACGCCCGCAGAATTGAACAACTCGACTAGAGGGGCCGGGATATCGGAAAGCTCTTCTGGAGCCCTGGATATGCTCACTAATTTGAGATGAGGAAATCCTCCTTTTAAGCACTCGTAGCCAAGTTGATACATGTCCTGCTCGCAAGGGCCCCTGATTTCGTTGCTGAGTAATTGCACAGTCTTTATAGACTGTGGAAGAAGCTTTCTTAAGCAGTCGTCATCATGAGACCGGGTCTCATGGAACCTGTCGAAGTCAGAGGCATAGTATGTGCAGAACAAGTCCATATCTACGGATATATCCTCGAGGCAAGAGAACCCGCGCAAAGTCTTGATCTGACTCCTCATTGGTACATCAGGACCAATGCCCCTATAATCAAGGGACAAGCCCCGTAGAGTTGTAGAACACGTAAGCAAGGTACGTATGACATCCCTTGGCATGGCCCACCTCGTTTCACCCAGACCTGCTACGAAGTCAAATTGCTCCATAGTAGGACAAGAAGCAAGGAAACTTTCGAGGGTCGCCAAGCCACTCGGGCTGACTGAGCATTGCGAGAGTTCAATCCTTTTCAGCTTTCGTAAAATAGGGAACCTCTCTGCACTAGAACCTTCCGTATTCGCATTTGGTTCGTAAAATGAACACATCTGCATGCTCAAAGTTTCAATATTCGGTGTTGCTCTAAGCAACCCGCGGACAGTTGATGCGTTGAAGCAGCCTTCTGTATCCCAATGATCAAGCTGTAAATATTTTAGAAATGGAAGACCATCCCATTGGCCCTGCTGTAAAACATGCGTTAGGCTTGCAAGGCTCCTGTACTGGTCCCATTGCAAAGCCAGTTGTTCGAGATTCGGAAGACAAGTGATCAGCATGTCAGCTGTGGTCTCCTCGATGCACTCCAAGTAGTCTTGTTCGTTCCCCTCGTAAAGAGTCAAGGATAACCTAGTCCAGCCTGGTTCGATATTGAATTCGAGGTGCGCGGCCAAATCTTCGAAAAATTGGGCATCTTCGTTCTTCAACATCATTGTCCTGTTGTTGGAACGATCCTCCGTCAGGTTGAGAATTCGCATGCTTGCTGCAAGATTTGGCCGTTGAGAAACCGCCTGCAAGATCCTGTGCCGCAAAAGACCGTGGGAGCCACCATAAAAGTGAAATAGAACTGGCTGAGCGATATCACGAAATAGCCTGGAGGCCAGACAAAGACGAGTAAGCGACGTTTGATCACCCATATAGATCGTTTCCACGCAGTGCGGGCACATGAACTCGCATATAGAAACTAAAATCTCGACAGGCAAAGTCCTCAAGCTGTTACGATAATATGCCATCTTGAATTTCAATAGATCTGAAAATGATTGTCCAGCGGAGAACATGATAGTTGCGGATTTGCAAAGGTGGGCTTTTATGCCAAAAATCGACTGCACTGCAGGCACCAGCAGTGAATGGTTGCCTTATGTGATCCCTTGACCCCGCTGCTCGCCTTCATGTACGTATAACACTTGCTCTGGTCACCACAACCAACTCCGACTTAATATAGACTTGATCTGAGGTGCGGTAACAAAAATTGCAGCGACGATATCTTAATCGTCTAAAACCTCTTATAACACTTTATGTTGATTCAATGACGTATGAGTTCTCTTATATGTTGAATATGACCCCGCAGTGGCGGGCTACCCTTCGAGCTGCGTCCTCTCCACTCCAATAAGCCCCTGTAACTGTACCAAGCCCGCCAGGGGGTGAAGTATGTTCGCCTGCAAACCATATACCACGGGTCGTGCCCATGCCTTCTCTCAAGACTTGGAAGTGATGTGCACAGTCGCCTGATCCAACTGGTTGGTTTGTAAACGACCCATAACCTGCAAATTTATCATCTTGCCAATCGGTGGTCAAATACTCCACCGGGTTGCAGTCAGACAAATCAACGTTGTAACCAGGAAGCTTAGAGTAGTATGGCTGGAATACCTTGTCAAGGAGCCTGCGATACTCCTCGGAGTTCTGCTTCATGCCTCGAACCAGACCGGTAACGTGCCGGCCCCATTGGCCATAGACAAAAAACATGATAACAGGTTGAGCAAATGGCGCGGGCAATCCCGAGTAAGAGATAATCTCTTGTCTCCACTTTGCTGGATTTGTACTTTCGGCATACAGTGGCCGGAGAAACAAAGACTCGATTGGGAAGCCTTCACTAAGAGCCCCGTTTGTAATGACTTTCAGATCATCATTTTTCTTCAAAATCCGAGAGTCCCAGAATGCCTTGGGAAACTTGATGAAAACCTTGTCAAGATTTCCATATCCAAGGTCATGGATGGCTTGCGATATACTGGTAGGTAAAGGAGGTGAGAATACGTCCTCGTTACGTTTTAACCAACCTAGGGGTGCAGTGACGATCACATTGCCAAATATTCCCCGGTAGCCATCAGCAGCCTCGATCTCAACTTGGCCGTCGTGGCAGTTCCGTATCCGTACGACCTCGCAGTTGAGTCGTAAACGCTCTGTAGTTGACAGGAGGGGCGAGATATTGGCTAGTATATCTTTATATGTCGACACAACGAGCAAATTGTCTTGAGGCTGTATTAGTACTGTCTAGACTTTTCAGGTATAGCAATGAACGTACCTCCCTCTATTCCGCAATCTAACCAAAAGTTCTTGAGACTCTGGTTCTCGAAGTCGTCACCCATGAAAGCGCCCCACATCTCAACAATCTGCAACATCAATATCCTTCGGGCTTCCGACTTTCCTAAGTGACAGTACCTCCGCTCAACTTCTTGCTTGAAAACATCGACCATTCTTGATGAATCGTCAATGGAATTGAATTGGGCTCGGCTTGTCTCCATGGCTTCCCCTAATATCTGCCAGACCTCTTCGTAGAGCTCTCGTGCCGCCTCACGTCCAAGCCACTCTCCATGTTGATCGCAAATAGAGTCAACAGCGCCACATGCAACTGTCGTTGACCGTGCCTTCTCTGCGAGAGAGACAAACGGATTATTCTTGGTCCCATGAATCCAGCTAGCTCCAATGTCAATTGGAAGTCCAAGCCGAGCACTCTGCTGTACTCGACCCCCAATCCGGTCCCGTGCCTCGAGCACAGTAACGTCAAAGCCAGCAGAGATAAGTAGCTCAGCAGCCCGGAGGCCACTGACACCAGCTCCGACGATGCAGATCTTTCTTCTTGATAAAGCCTGATCATCTAACATTTTGTTGAAGCACATAGTTTGTTCGCCATTGAGCAAAAGGTAGATGGGTAGGAAAACATTACGATTTGATGTGTGTTGAGCGAGATTTTATCAGTCACTACCTGTGCTGGCAAGGCACTACTCAAGGCTTTTCTTAGCCGCAACGCGCAGCCAATTAAAACGCACATCGACGGTACTTCACTCACCACCCAACTTTGTAAAGAATACTTGTAACCCATGATAGGCCTTGATGAAGATGACATTGATACATTTTCAGCAAACCACACCTGTATTATTTTGCAGATAAAGTGCAAAGGGTGGAACTGTTGGCAGTCGTTGGTTTACGCACGCGGACTTAGAGGGTCTTTGTTTCAA